AAAAGCTTCATAGACAGAGCATAACAAAGACAAGCCTCAGGAAGGAATTGGGATTGTAAGAAGCCAGTGGGCTTCTCTTTCCTTCCATCAGGCAAATCATGTTAATTTTCTACTTCCCAGAAGTGAAAGGAGCCACCAATTCATTTACATAAAGAAAGTATGCTGTCTTATTTGCTTGACTTACCAAAGTTCTCCTTCACTGCTGTAATAATAACTCTTGAGGTGAACACCAGGACAGATGAGGCCCACCCTCTGATGCAGTCATAGCCTCTGACATGGTACTCCCCGGCCGGAAGGGAAGGGACCACGCACTGAAGAACGGTATGGTTACCAGAGACACCCACGCAGGGTGACATTCCTATAAAAATGTCAATGTTTGCAGCTCCTGAGATCTGGGCCACTGCAAAGGTTAAGATGCCATCGCTCTGAGAAATAGAGATCAATTCTGGGGTAAAGGCATTGCTATAACCAATGACTCCTATGTGATACCGAGGTCCATCTACCTCTATTTCCAGGGCAGCAGAGCCATTCCCTGTGGGTACAATGCAGCGGATGAGCTCAGCACCGATATTCACCATCAGGCAGGCCTGCTGGTCAATGTAGACTGACGTGGTGTTCTGTCCTCTCAGGCCTGTGCCCTCTATGGTCAAGAGGCTTCCACCATGTATGCTGAAATTCTTAGGAAAATAATGAAACACTTGGGGCATAATGTAGAAGTGTCTGGAAACATTACCAGAACAAGCATACCCATTTCTTGTATAAAAAACTGACAGGTAGTGGGGTCCTGGGGCCAAGTCTCTTGTCTGGCACACAACGTGGCTTGCATTAAAAAAAGTTACATTGCAAAGAAGTTGATCATCCACAAACACCATCGGCTCATCAGCTGTGGTGCCTAACCTCTCACCCCTAATCAGCACAGTGGTCAGAGACCCACTGGTGTTTGTGGACAAGGTGTCCATGACAGGACTTGCCTCTTCCCGTATGAAGAGAGTGCAATTCCCGTGACACTCGCTGGTTATCCCATTGACCAGGACCGTGACGTTCAGGGAGAAGGAAGCTCCAGGCAAGGGGTCACCCTCCAGGCTAACCTGGCAGAGAATGGTGTGGTCTCCCAAACTCAAAATCTCACAAGTAAAAGGACCCGAGAGGTCAACCCGAACCGATCTCGTTCTAGAGTTAAGAAGCAACCCCCTCACAGTGAGTATGGTCCCACCACACGCCGAGCCCTGCGATGGGAAGATGGCCATTATCCGAGGCGTCACTGCAAATTGCTGGGGCACCGCAGACATGTTAGCAAATCCCATCTGCTTCTGACGTACTTGCAGAGGATAGATGCCGGCCTCCAGACTGTGAAGAGGGACGGAGCATCCAGACAGGCTTGAGTTACCCTGGAAGGACTGTGTCTCAGCATCACAGTTCAGGTTCCCCAGAAGGATGACTGAGTTGGAAAGGTTACTTCCTCCCACACGCAGGCTCAGGCTGCTGTTTGTGATTTCGCCTTGCATGGCAGTGACTACTGGTGTTGCTGCTGCTTCATACATGAAAGTGAAGCCATTCCCCACCAAGCTTGGTGAAGGACCATGGGCGAAGGACCTGTTGCCAGCCCAGACCTCCACGGCAGCTGGGACAGTGGGAGCGCCTGCATCGGGTATCTGGGGGGCCGGCAGGGTCTCACACCAGATGCTCGCCTCCGTTAAGTTCACAATGTCACAGGACCGATTGCCCACAAGTACCCAAACCAAAGCTGGGTCCCTGCTGAAGCCTATTCCTGAGATGCTGAGGATGGTCCCTCCTAAAGTATGAATATGGAAAACAAAATATTACAGCTGAAATTCTTAACTAAGAACTCACAGCACCTGTGCAAGTCCTAGGGCAATTAAGTGCAAGGTAGGGCATGTGTTAGTGAAACCTCAATTATTTTTTCTCACCCACACCAATGCTAAATTTGTGATTAGACAGGAGTCAGATGTGGTAAATTCACATAACAGTAAAATAATACAAATTGTTATATAGGAAGGATGTCTTTAACAAAAACTTTTCACGTACCTTTGTATATCCTAGAAGGCACCACTTTAATCAACTTATACACTAATGAAAAATCAAATTTCTTAATCTTCTTATCATATGTTATATTATTGGACATATTATCCTGTATGCTATATATAATTTGTACATTGTCCTGTATACATTCAACTTATATGCTAATGAAAAATCAAATTCACTGAAGTCTTCTATCTTCTATATTGTTCTATA